ATTTATTTTAGTCAACGTTTCGCCCTTGCGGCTTCATTGGGCTAGTAGTACATCATATTCTTAAACTACTAGCCCTGGTGAAGCCCTAGGGTCGAACATTGTCTGAAATAAACAGTTTCTTTTATTACTATATGTGAAGTTATGATTTAGACATCGCGCTAAAGGTGAATGGGGTTATTTTGGAAGGGTCAGAAATGGACTATTAACGATTGGTCGCAAATTTTGTAATGTGATGAGAGTATCTACACCCAGTCGTAATAGGTAAATATAGGTCTGAAGCCAGACGAATGAACAATGTGGCAGTGATTGACAAAGTAACTGAAAGGGATTATGGTGAGTGTGTTATATTGTGACCTGAACCTATTTGTGGAGGGTCTACAAGTCTGAATTCCTGCTTATAGATATCCAGACATATTAAGTGGTCGAGTTCCAGGAGCTATACCAAACTTTTTGTCGTTGATGAAATATTATGTTGTTCCGGCAGAATAACTCTCCTTATATTTGATTTACAAGAACCAATATCTGTTGCCATCAGGAGGGGGGGAGGAATAATTAGAAAGGTTAGATCACTACCTTCTAATTAGCAGCAACTGATCGACCATTTGACACAAAATGGAGACAAGTTGCACAAGAAAGACACTTAGTTGAAAGCAAGCCTCGCCATAGAGTCAGGGGTTAAGAGAATATCAAGTTAAAGCTGTTCCATGCAAATAAAAAAGTGTGCAGAATTATTGTTATTCACAGCTAGAAAATACGGAAGTTATTACCATAGAAACGTAAAATTTGTAATGCAACAATGAGGACTGCCTAATTCATTTCCTATTTTCGCAGTGAGACAAAATCACATAGGAATCTTTACACTAATCGAACTGATTATTTTCACAGCATGATATGTTAAAAACTGAGGACGTTTCATTAACACCAGGTAAGATATGCTCTGGTAAACAAAGTTGAAAAAGGCAGAAGCTACCTAGTTCAGAGCGACACTTGAGGAGAAACTCTTGAAAGTGTAAACTACAAAAATAGTCTTTTCCACCTGAGCTACTTTTGTAGATTAGTCCTCCAAAACTTTCTTCTCAAGTGTCACTATAAAATACGCAGTTGCTGCCCATTATACCTTTGTTTGTTCATCAAAAAGACTGCTTAAATCAGTTATAAACGAATATGTTCTGATAGTAATTTAAAAGTGTTGTTTTGTTCAACGATTAGCACTTGTTTGTATCCAGGAGGTAAATACTGCAAAGTCTCATTTGTACATCGGGCAAGATACAGGATAGCAAAATTATTTAATTCAAAAACAGCAAAATATAGCTGAGAGGAAACTTGATAAGCACAGTACTGATAAACAAACATAAATATAGCAACTTTAGGAAGGTTTCTATCAGCTTCTTCATAACGCCGTGAGCTTCCCACGCATTTCCAATGATTGCTTGTTCACAAACATGTTCCGCGAACATCTGGTAACACTGAGATGGCTTGAGTATCGGCGCATTAGTTCATCTTTATTGATTTTTGTTCCGTAATACGACCGTGGACAATAGAATGACAGTTTGCAACGGTTCGCGTGAATTAAGTTGCGCGTAAATCTGGAAAACGCTGGCAGAAACAAGTTTATTAGGCTAGTTATTGAGTTTGTTATTTTGAAACAAACTTTTTCGATCGTGTACTTTTACAGTTGTCAGTCGTTTAGGCTATATTTATTTATTTTCTGAAGTGCGAAAAAAAGAAAAATACACAATTCAGCCTCTAATTTTAAGCAAACAACGTCTCCTAATGGGTCAACGTTAAGTTTACGGACTTAGACTCTAAAATTATAGGTTCGATTATCCCTTGTAGACTGAGCACAGATCGCATATTGTATAGCCTTGCTCTAACAAAATCAACAATCTCTTTCATTGAATTTTATTTCCCTTTATATCATTGAAATCAAATAGCCTTTTAAAAAATAGAAAAAGGCAGAATAAATGCTTCTCTTTTCAAAGGAAACTTAGTTCGTTTTTCATTTCAGATGCTTTTGTCTTCCAATAATTGGTTTTTCTTTAAATTCTTATTCAGACAGATAGCTTGTCTTAACCTGTCCAATCTTCTTTCGCATTGTGTTTTAAAACGATTTTATTTTCACGAAATGTTATACTGGTCCCAAAAACTCTTCTAGACGTTTTATATTCAACTATAGTTCTTTCACCAGTCAGTGGCTACTGTGCTCATGATATTTACAATGGCATCTTATAAGTCTATGTATTAAAATCCATTGTAATCCAGATTATTTACATAAATAAGTATTAGTTTCCTTCCGATACTGCTAGTCTAACCATTTAGTCTAAGACCAAGCATTTAAAAAATAAAGTTAAAAATATTAATGGTATTTATTTTATATATAGACGTTTCTGGGTATAGTTGAACCGAAACGCAAAATACTAACGACCGACACACACAGCGCTCAAGATAAGATCCGTTAATGTTTTTCTTGCAAATGATGTTTCTTTTTCTTTTCAGATTCCACAAATAAGTTATGCTTCAACCAGCACTGAACTCAGCGATAAAGCAAGATTTGGCTACTTTTCTAGGGTGGTTCCGCCTGATAATTTCCAAGCCCAAGCAATAGTAGATGTCATCCTGAAGTTGCGTTGGAATTATGTTTCTACTGTGGCTGTAGACGGTGACTACGGCGAAAAAGGCATTGAATATTTCAAGATGCTAGCTCGAAGATCAGGTACAAACCCGTATGTAGTTGTATAACGTCTTCTTACTTCAAACACCAAAATGAATTAACAAAAGCCGTTACAAGGAAACATTCATATATTAGAAGTTTTATGCCCACAGTTATCTAAATTCTCTCAGGTAATTTTCTTTTACTTTTCTTGAAGTATTATTTTCAATATTCTTAAATATAAAACTTTGAAAGGAAATTGTGAAATCAGACTAATTTAATCATATTTTGTTATTATAATAAACACTTAGTATTTTGACCTACCTTTGATCTTACTTTACAGAGAGATTGATACTTTAATATAACTTTGCAGAAGAACTGCTACTTTTATCTGTCCTTCTGAAGGGCTGCTATTTTGACCTGCTTTTATAGAAAGATTGCTACTTTGACTAACTTGACAGAAAGACTGTTTCTTTGTTTGATCTATCTTTGCAAAGGAAGTGCTATTTTGATATAATTGTTACAGAAAGATTGCTACTTTAATCTAACTTTACAGAAGAACTGCTATTTTGATCTAATTTTAGATAAAGATTGCTAAATTGAACTAACTTTACAAAAGAACTGCTATTTTGATCTAATTTTACACAGAGACTGCTATTTTGACCTAACTTTACAGAAGAACTGCTATTTTGATCTAATTTTACACAGAGACTGCTATTTTGACCTAACTTTACAGAAGGACTACTACTTCTATCTGTTCTTCTGAAAGGCTGCTATTTTGACCTGCTTTTATAGAAAGATTGTTTGTTTGTTTTTAATTAAGCACAAAGCTACACAATGGGCTATCTGTGCTCTGCCCACCACGGGTATCGAAACCCGGATTCTAGCGTAGTAAGTCCGCAGTAGAAAGATTGCTACTTTGATCTACCTTTACAGAAAGGCCGTTTCTTTGCTTGACCTATTTTTGCAGAGGAATTGCTATTTTGATCTAATTTTACAGAAAGATTATTACTTTGATCTAACTTTACAGAAGAACTGCTCTTTTGATCTAATTTTACACAAATATTGCTATTTTGACCTAACTTTACTGAAGGACTACTACTTTGACCCGCCTTTGCAGAAAGATTGCTACATGGAGGTGCAACAATAATCCTCTTTTTATATCGTGTTGGAAATTTTAACTTTGTGTTTAAAAAAATGCAGCTAGTCTAAGTAAAGCAAAACCTATAGAAATGATAAATACAAAAATACGTTTTTACTTTTCTCTAAGTATTATTTCAATACTCTTAGACATAGAACTTTGAAGAAAAATTATGGAATCAAATTAATTTGATCAGACTTTGTTATTATAATAACCACATACAGGGAGTTGATGAAAAACAAACAAATCTGAATACTTTTTTGTTGAAAGTTACCATATTTAATTTTAAGTTGGAGAATCAATGAGAGACTGCTGTAGAGTTTCACTATCATTTTTAGAAATGAATATGACATCCAAGAAGTTCTGATCGATCTTTTATGAGATGTGAAACATGTCTTCTTGCTGAAAAATTCGTGTTCCCTTTTTTCTTCTTTTTCTAGCAGCTAATCATAAGATCTTAATGTTCACTCATATTTATGTATGTTCAAACTATAAACGAGTAGTCACCGAAAAGGTCCTGTTCATGGTATTGCACTGTTTGTTTGTTTATTGAATTTCGCTCAAAGCTACTCTTCTGTCAACGAAAATTGGGATTAACAATCACATTATAACGCCTCTTGACTGAAAGGACGAGCATGTTCGGTGACAGAATTCGAACTCGCGACACGCAGATTGCGAGTCAAGTGCCCTAACCACCAGACCATGCCAGGTCAGATATTACACTGACACTATCGTTTACCTCTATTTCGTCAGACAGGAATTTGTGCATCACCTGTAGCAACATGAAACACTGAATCGGCCATTCTGTGATTTCTACAAAACCCCAAGAGCAGTGTGGTGTTTTAGAGTTAACTGGAGGACCAAAGAAGATCTTCTTGACCATAAGCTAAACTACTAAAGTATTTCATTTATTCTTTAGTCATTTATAACCACTCAACTAGTGGATAGTGGTCTAACTATTTATAACACCCATGTTGCAAGATACTGATCTTTACGTAGCGCAGTTGACCTACCACGATCTTTTTTGAGTTCCTTAATGAACAGACCATCTCTCCAATAGCGCGTGGACAACAAAATGTGCTGTGCTTATCCGGTTTCCAGCTCTAACAATTACTCTTTCATCGAAAATCTTCACTCTTCCTCCAGGATGTAATGATCTCACATAACGATGTGAAAGCAATGACCAAATATGAGCAAATCAACAAGCAGAAGAAAAAAGCTTAAGTTAGGTGAACAGCATGCCAAAACAACATTGCATTGTCAAAGCAAGACAATTTCGCGCCTACGAATTTGAAGAATTGCATTTAATTAAGTACACTTACAAGTTGTATTATATGTTGGTCCCTCCATTTTTTGTCATCTTCTACATTGTATCTCTAATATTATTGCGTTTATCGTTGTGGAATTATCCAGGTTAATTTGAACATTACTGTGACTTTGTTAACGACATCGGATATATTATAACAAGACATATCAATATTTCTAGGATGCTTGCCTGCTATAACTGAAATATATAATCAGTAGTAATCTGAATATAGAGTTTATAAAAAAATTGTAACTATTTATATTGCATATGTTTATGGAGAACCACAATTGTACACCTTTAAAGAAAAAAACTCTTAAAAGTAGCTGGTCAATTGTTTATTTCCAAAATACTAATTGAAATTATATTGTTTTTAATATAAGCAAAGTAGCGTATTTTGGCATAAAATCTTTTACTTGAATAATACTAGCAACATTTTCCTACTTTAACCAGTAACTGGTTTGTTTAAAGCACAATACTTATAGCTGGTTTCGATATAATTTTCTACCTGGAATAATTTAAGGAACACAAAAATTATAGCTATTTTGACGAGTGATTGGGATAACTTGTTTTATCAATTCCTTGAATATGTGCTCTATATATAGAGATACTGATGTATATTTTAAGTACACCCTGGATGTCTATTACTTTGAACAAAGGGGATAAGACTGAGTTTTCTTTAAAATGTAAGAATATTGTAAAACCATTTCAATTCCTCTTAATCATTTGAAAATTATTGGGACAATTTAAAAGATTGATGGATTATGACTATACAGGTATTTAACTGAGTTATGTGTTGCATTATGATCGAATGGAATCGAAAAAGGGGTTATGTTGTTCAGAAAATCCCAATATATTTGAGGCCCTTTAATCTTTTATTCCTACACATTTCTTCATACTCTTCAAAACCGTAAATCGATCTGAAAGGAAATTTGGAGGAATGCTTTTCTTGACTATTTTCAAACACCGAATTGTCTTCAAACAGCAAAATAAAGAAATGGTAGACTAAGTGCCTAACATGCATTACCTTTTAACGAACAAAAATCTTACAAATTAAAAAAAATGTGTTTGTGTACATCTCCAACAAAAACGTTAGTTCGGACGTTGTTTATGTCCCATTTAACTGTGTGCTCTTACAGTTTCCTGCACGATATTTTAAGCAACATTAAATTCCACTAAAACCTGCTTTGGTATCACATTTAAATCTTTGTAAACTTGGTTCTTTGTTTAATAAAAGTTTAATGTCATAGGTAGAATACAATTACTTTATAACCGGGTTGTAAATAATAGGTAATAATACTTTGCAGTCTAATATCACGAAATGTTCAGGTATTTTCATAATTTTTGAAAGAATTGAGTGTTTCTATTCTATAGATAGCTAAGTTTCAAGTATACGAGGTACACAGAAGATTGTGGCTAAGTTAATTACATGTTAAATAGAACAAGGACATCAAAGTAAAGTGAGCAAATAGATGAGATTCAATTAAATTATTATTTATCCTTACACAAATAGGCTATTGCTGTGACTTTAATTAATTGTATTAACTGTCTTTTCTATTTGCTATGTACTGCAAATGGCTACTGGAGCAGTTAAGAAGCACGTTTAGGTCAGACAAAAATCTTACTGTAACATCTCACTTTTCCAGATTACCTGTTTTAACGATCATCCCCACTATAATTTCAAGGTATACAAGTCTCTGTATCCCCCATCTTAAACCACAATACCAGAGACATGAAATAGGGTCAAACAAGTATGACATTTTTCTTAGCAATTATTGTGGTGTTTGTTTTAATGAATCACAAAGATACACAATGGGCTATCTGTGCTCTGCCCCCCCCCCCACGGGTATCGAAACCCTGTTTCTAACGTTTGTAAGTCGGCAGATATTGTGGTGTGTAATCTCAGTTTCATATTTGCGATTTCTCACATCTTGTTTAAAAGGAGGCAATGTAACTACATGCAGAACACGTTATAAAAATTTTAAAATATACATATGTACCTAAATAAATATTTTTTCCTAGTTATGGAGTAGTGAATTAGCAGTTATTTCCCCTGCAACAGTGTTACTTACATCTTCAATTTTGGTGGTTAGCCGAATATCGAATTATGTAAGACAATCATGAACATGTGATTTTCAAGAAAATTCTAATAACACTTCTGAAGACTTAGTATGTGATTATTACTGTATTTAATATTAGATATTGAACCCAAAGATTAAACCTCAACAGTTTTATCCACTACAAACATTTTAGAGAGTATGACATTCATTTATTCCCTTTATTTCTTTACCATTCTTCAATCAATTAGCTTTAATAATGGAACATTTCAGTTTCTAAAAAGACATAAATTTGGAACATTAACGAACTTTTCGGCAATGTGTACAGGCAAACTTAGTAGTAACTATTTCTAAAAATGTTTTGAAAAAGATTTCGTAAACCTTACAGTAATGCTTTTCCAAGTCGCTCTTATGTTAGTATCCAAGAAGAAATACGTTTACAAAATAATCTGAAGTAAAGGCTACTCGTGATGCTTCAAAAATACATCCGCTTATCTTACTTTGCATGCTCTTTACAAGTGTGTTGTATTCTATTCAGGAATATGCATTGCAGTATCCGAGAAGATTTCTCGGGACTCCAAGCCAGATGATTTTAGACAGATTATAAAAAGGTTGAGTGGAAAGCCTCGAGCTCGTGGAGTAGTATTATTCGTAGACGAAGATAATTGTAGGTATGCATAGACTTTGTGTTATTAGTTACGATATAAATAAGTGTATTATGCCTTTTGTTTATTAATATACTGTTGTGTGACTTTTAAGATTGTGTGATGCAATTTGTTTTTTAATGAATTATTTAAATAATATATACTAAGACATAAAAGTGAGGTTTTACGCACATTCTTTTTTTTCTTTTCACAGTCCCTCGGTTACAATTTCAACAATTATCTACACGGGGTTCTGTCTTCGTACCAATGCCGACACCAGGATTCTTAAAGTCGGGAGGCGAAAGGGGTGGCAGACAGGTGGGCTTGGGATTGGTTGTTGTTAAGCGCAAAGCTACACAATGGGCTATCTGTGCTCTGCCCACCACAGCTATCAAAACCTGATTTTGAGCATTCTAAGCATGCAGACTTGTCGTTGAGCCACTGGCGGGGAGAGAGAGGGGTGTGTGTGCAAAAGCTTTTTCTTTAAGCACAGAGCTACGCAATGGGTTATCTGTGCTCAGCCCACCACGGGTATCGAAACCCGATTTCTAGCGTTGTAAGTCCGCAGACATACCGCTTTACCACTGTGTGTGTGTGTGGGGGGGGGGCATTATGTGGAAGGAATTCTATGGAAGATAAATAGATAATGTTTTGTTGGGTGGAGTTTCCTTCCGTGGGGTAGACTAGTAATTTGGGTGGGATTTCCTTCCGTGGGGTAGACTAGTAAGTTAGGTGGGATTTCCTTCCGTGGGGTAGACTAGTAAGTTGGGTGGGATTTCCTTCCGTGGGGTAGACTGGTAAATGAAGACATCACTGGGGGGGGGGGCATTACGTGGAAGGAATCCTATGGAAGATAAATAGATAATGTTTTATTAGGTAGGATTTCCTAGTAAGTTGGGTGGGATTTCCTTCCGTGGGGTAGACTAGTAAATGAATACATTCTAATCTAGGAGGTGTAACCTTTACTAAACATTTTTTTAAAATTTTATGTAAAAGAAAGTAGACAAGTTTCAGGGGTGGCACCTCCCTCTGGTGTCGCCACTGCTACCTAATAACTGACAGTTAGTCCCCCAAAAACGTATCTCTAATGTTATTAGACGACGAATATATATATATATATATCGTTTGGATATTACTACAGTAGTTTTTATACCTTTTATTCAATTAATTACCTCGTGTTTTTTTTTCCTTCATGTATTATATTTATTGCGTTTGGATTGATAACTTTAAGTACAAATTAAATTATCTATTTTCGTTTCTTTGTTTGTTTCTAACGCAAAGCTACACAACTGGTTATCAAAATCTTGGATTTTAGCGTTGATTTACTGGGAGAGAAACTATCTATTAATTTTATCTTGCAGAAAATTGCTGGCGGCCACAGTTGAGTTGAACAAGATAGGTCATTTTCTGTGGATAGGAAGTGACAGTTGGGGAGCTAAAGTACATCCTGTTAGAAACCAAGAAGTAGCAGCAGAGGGCGCTATCACAATTTTACCAAAAAGGAATGAAATAAAGGGTAATATAAAGTTCAGATATATCTCTTCAAAAGTATTTTACAATAATATTGAATATATAAAATATTACAATAATAGACCCTCATCAACCACAATAATTACAAATGACTTCCTAACCTGTAAGAAAATAACATGTATGATTGCAAATTTATGGCATCATTCTAAGTTTTACTAACTATATTTGAACACTGTACCACCAACGCAGTTAATACTGTTTTTTAATGAATTATAATTATGGTATTTCCAATACATTATTACATGCGTTACTTACACTGCTTAACATAATAATAGTATTGTACTACCAACGCAGTTTATAATACTGCTTTATAATGTATTATTATGGTGATATTTCCAATAGATTATTACTTGCGTTACATACACTAGTGTAATCTGTTACGCTCTGTGTAGCGGGTGCATGTGACTAAAGCACAAATTACTTTGAGGTTTTCAGGTTTAGTGTGTCAAAAATATTTATTCACAATCTCATTGCTACTAACAAAAGAATTTAAATCGTGGTTCTTGCTGTGAAAAGTAAATCAAAAGGAGAGAACTTCTGCATTGCATCGTTTGCATAAAACAAGTCTTCGGCTTCAGCTATAATTGTGCATGTTTAATTCTTTTGTACCACGAGTAAAACACCTCGAGCGATCATTGAAGCCTTCTCCTATTCAACGAGGAGTGCTTTCGAAATTCGCTTCTCCCCAGAGGCAGTACTTTGGCGTGCACTGGAGTGGTGCGATACAGTATGTTAAAGCTTCAAGTAAACCCTCGAATTTCAAAGAGAAAAGAGTAAAGAAAATCAGTCTATATGTAAACATAACACAGACAGAAACTAGTTGATGAATTGTTATGCAGCAAAGTAAATAACGTAGTTTAGGAAGCACCATCGAAAACTGAGTGGTTTGTTTGCATAAAAACTTAAAAAATGCAGAATAACTATCAGAGCAAGAAAATATTGATTATTTGTTTCTAAACTGCGTGTTCTTGTGTAGTTGAAAGAAGGTGGTGGGTGGGTATTCCGTAGTTCAGTGGTGTGTAGATAAGGGAATAGTTCATCCTTGCTATTGTTTGCATGTTGCATAGATTTATTGCTCTTTCATTCGTGTTTAATATCTATATACATTTTTATATTTTGCAGCATATATTTTATTGTCTCAAAATAATTATCAATTATCTGTTACACCTGCACATTAAAGGATAGCCATCTCTTATAAAGTTACAAGTTCTAATAAAGTCATGATATTTTTTATTGTGATAAGTAGTCTACCGAATTAATAGGATTAATAAAATCTAACAAAGTGTGCTTTTTTTTTCGTAGACTTTAACAACTATTTCATGGCCTTGAGGCCGAGGAGTAATTTGAGAAATCCTTGGTTTAAACCGTTCTGGGAACAGCATTTCAAATGCAAATTTCAAAACGATTATACAAATGTGGATCTTTGTACAGGTAAGCTCATTATTAAAGTAATGCAACTCTTAGGGATAAATAAGTGAACTTAAAGTAGGATGAGCACTTTAGTTGTTAGTTGGATTGAAGTCTTAGAAATCCATGATTCAGCATTTTTTTTTCATACGAAACTGACCGTAAGTACCATAATTATCAAGGCATTCAAAAACAGCATCATCCTTCAGCTTTGCATATTGACTAAAAGCTTTCGTAATATTATCAAGGTTATATAAAACTATTTCCAGTTATTCTAACTAGTCAGTCATATGGTCCTTTAGGTTTATAAACAGTGATTTCAAGTACGTTTAACAGGAAATGAATCGTCCTTTAGGCAAAACAAGAAAGAGTATTTGCATTTTTATTTATTACTTTTATATTTGTCATTCATTTTCTTCTCTTAAATTTAACAACCGAGAGGATGAAACTAGCTCTATTATATTATACCCCTATCAGGTAAAATCAGCTTACAGTAGTGGGCGCAAAGTTGAGCAAAGTATTCTTCATTTGAGGCATTATTAGGAATGTCATAAGGTGTATCTTTTGTAATTCATGCGTCTTTTTGGGGTTAGTAATCCCTAGATTGGTAAGGTTCAGGTGCTGGAGAATAAGGGGTGACAAAACATATCTTATTTACTAAAGATTCAATTTATTGTAGGACAACTGATAATCACGGGCGCACGAAAAATAAAAACCCATTAGCTCTTTCATTTAAGGGGCAGAACGTGCAATACATCATACAGAGTAATTCCTATCAGAAAGCAGTTTTTTTTATAATGTGTTTATTATTTTAATAAATAAAGTCCAATTAGTTTTAATAGACCAGTCCGAGACTGCAACGGAAACCCACAGTTTTCAATTGCAATTTGGCTCGGCATGGCCAGGTGGTTAGGGCGCTCGATTCGTAATCTGCGGGTCGCGGGTTCGATTCCCCGTCCCACCAAACATGCTCGCCCTTTCAGCCGTGGGGGCGTTATAATGTCACGGTCAATCTCACTATTCGTTGGTAAAATAGTAGCCCAAGATTTGGCGGTGGTGGTGATGACTAGCTGCCTTCCCTCTGGCCTTACAGTGCTAAATTGGGGACGGGTAGCGCAGATAGCCCTCGTGTAGCTTTGCGTGAAATCCATAACCAATAAACAATTGCAATTAAATAAGTATCATAATTATAGAAGTCAAAAAAGTCATGATTAAATTTCTAAGACACTGAACTTTGACCAGGCAGTAAAATCCCTAATTTCCGTTGACTCGCAAGCCTATGAACGAAATACAGACAAATTTGAAGTAATTTATAGTTTCTAAATTATAAACAACAGTTTGCGTTCAGTCTTTGGTATTCACTTTCATGTATAAATTAGACTGTGTACTCTAATAGGTCGAGAATGTGTGATAAAAAAATCACGTAAAATACAGATGTTTATTTTTTTTCAAATTCCTTTTAATTTGTCAATTTCTAATTCAAAACCAGAGGCATATAAAAAAATTACATTCCGGTTCTATCTTTTGTCTCCTACAAACCACTGCCCATAAAGCCTTTCATTCAATACCAGAACTAGCCAATCGGGTTGGACGATGAAAGACAAAACATTTTCTGGAACGTTATTTATATATGCAGTATAGTACTTTGTTATTTTCCACACAAATTTTACGCCTATCGGTTTCTAATGTTTCGCTAGCTATCGGCGTCTAAGCCATAATTATTCTCCGATTTTCAGCTTTTCTTTCGAATTCCTAAAATACTTTTGAAATATTTCATCACATTAACATGCAGTATATTCACAATGAAGTGGCTGCATTAAAAAACTTCAGTCAATCCATGCCAAAATAAGCAAGCTGAAGCATGAAGGTTAGGCACAAATGTTTTTATATCGAATTCCTTACAAGCATGATGTTCATTACAATGCTTTTTAAATTTCTTTTATATTGCTTTATAACAAATGATGTGCATTATATCAAAAAAATTATTTGTTTGTTTTTAAATTTTATCCAGGTAAGTCAACAAAATAAAAATTCTGAAAGTGATAACTAAATTAGTGTTCTAATCCTACTCTCAACTTAGGGGAAAGCGTATTTATAAAACAATTTTCAGGGCAATAACTTTTATATATATATATCGTAAAATATGTAACTTTTTTGTCGGGAGTTAATATGATGCAATATAATTCATTATGTTGAAAGATAAAAAGACCATTGCTTTTTAATAATCACTATTTCACAGATTATCAGAACGTTGTTTAAATTAGATAACATGTTATTAGTTTGATTTCAGTAAGTATTTTTTAAACATATCCACTATATCCGTTGAAACCAGACGCTTTGAGCTTTCACATATCACCAATTCATAAAAACTCTACTTGTTTACTAAACAAACAGCCACATCTTTAATAGTTCAAAAAATATATCTTATTTTATTATTTTCACACATCTAGAACCGTATATTTTAGCAAAATTAAAATTTACTTTATATTTTGTTGGTTAGTTTTACTTGAATTAATTCTATAGGAACCGAAACCTTGGACAAATATGCACAGGAAGGATTGGTACCATTTGTGATTGACGCTGTGCACGCCATGGCGCACGCGTTGCACAACATGATGAAAGATCGTTGCAAGTCTTTCAGGCAGTGTGAAGACATGTTTCCAGCGCCCTCTGGAAACGAACTGTTGACGTACATTCGAAATGTGTCATTTAAAAGTAAGTTCAGTCGCGATCGTATTATTTGAAGTTGTAAAATAAAATTTCACAAATAAAAACTCTAAATATATACAGAACTGTTCAAAAAAATACATCATGTGTAAATATTATGGCCACTTCGTGTATTTATATCAAAATTTATTATGACTGATATCCCCCTCAAACATTAAACCTTTTGTGTGTTTGTGTAATAAGCCAATCATTTGAAACTAATAATTATCTGTACGTAACTTTGCATGCAAAAGTGGAAATATTTGTAGTAGAATTCTTTATATCGCTTTGATATTCTTGTACTCGTATCTTAAGGATGAGCAACGTTTCAAGGACATGTTCTTGACCACCTGGACATTGAACATTGTAAAGCACTCTTTTTGCTGTTGTTGCTCCTCCTTTGTGTTTCTTTTCACGTTTATAAATAATTTTCGTAGAATGTGGTTCGTTTTTAATATAAACATGATATTAACTTTAGTAATAATTCGTTTATCTGTTAAACTGAAATTATTATTATTTATCCTCTTATGTTAAAATTGACATTTTGTTGATAAAGTTCGTTTAATTGTACGCTGAATCACGTTTTAAGGTGGTTAGTAGTTTTGAATATATATGTTTATTATATTGAATTTTGGATTCAAAATTATAGTGACATATTCTAGAAAACAGGATTTTATTTTATTTTTGTCTTCGCTGATTGGGATGTCTAAATTTTTGATAAACTGCTGGTGTTAGTTGAGCCTGGCCTGTGTTTCTGTGTGCTGTTACTCACAGAAATGATTATCTACTCCTCATCAGTTTCCAAATAGTTTCCAAAATCTGAATAGCTGTGTCGTGTCTCCATATTAGGAAAATGTCTTCCACATACCCAATTCACAGACTGGGCAAATGTACTTATGTACAGTTGTTGCTGTATTCTTTTCAAATTGCCTCACATATATTTCAGCACAATTGAAGATACTGGAGAACCCATCGTTAGCCATTCTGTAATAATATGTGCTATTTAAAATAACTAGTATGTAAAGTTCAAGGAATATAATGCTGTTTCTAACACTTGTTGTAGATCTCTTTATGGGTACAGTGTCGTTATTTAACATAGTTATTTTGTATGACAATAAGGCCTAACATTGTAGAAAGGCTTATGAGGAAAAGGGGACATAATCAAACCTTTAAATACCATAATATAATGTGTTTTACGAGCATTCCTGATATTGTTGTTGTTTCGCTTTTAGTGGCAAATTCATTAGCAGCGTCTTCATCTAGTCAGCTGGGTACTATTTGTAAGGATAAAACTAGGATCTTGATTGAGATAAAATGTAACATGTTGCTTATCAAAAATATTTTAATGAGAGAAAAGTCCAAAAGTGTCTTTAATCTATAGATTTTGTTATACCCCTTAAGAATATAAAAGCATTATGAATAATTATACTTTGCTAAACGAAAAATTATGTTCAAGAAGCGTTTTCAAAACCTGGTGAGTATCAGTTTTATTGATACCGTTATGTCTGAAACGTTGAACAAATATCCAGCCATACACTTCTCGATCTTGTAACAATACTCAACTTGCTAATACATTTATGACTCTCTTACATAGAGTAGTTTCACAAAAATAAATTTGACATATTTTGAAGTAAGTGTTTAAAATTACAAATGTAATTCATTTCAAAATTTAATTTATAAGAATAAAGAGTTTTATTTGTCCTTTACAAGTTCAAATGTCTTTGATACATAAATGTAAGACCCAGTACTGTATGGTTGTCTATGCATATAAAATAACATACCCTTATAAAACCTGATAATATATGAATACCATGTAATGACACTTTTAAAGCTGACAATTACATATTTCCTAGTAGAGCTGAGGAGAAGCAGTTAAAGGTTAATACAAAATTTGGTAATTGCAACTCTTGAGCTGATTTTTCACGTAACAGAATTTGGCTCTTCCATTTCTCTATTCCTTTAATTAAATAAGTATTTAGTTTCTTAGCTTTCTTTTCTTTTCTTTTTAGTATGTGTAGGTTTTTTAAAGCAAGTAAAATTGTATTGGTTGAATGAAAATGGATATTTAAAAGTAATGTATTTTGACTGGGTGATCCTGAATGCAGCTAGCCTGAATGAAATTTAGAAAATTAAATTGTAAAAAACATTCAGCTGATTGTGGAGAGGTAGGTTTTGATATAGTTTAGCCTTTTTTATATTAGTGATATCTTTCTGCCAACTAATAACAAAACTGACTGTAAAAAGTAACTTTGAGCAAAGTTGTTTTTGTCGTTGATACACATCGATGTTATACTTAGATTAAAACATCAATACATGGCAAGTTAGTATTCTTGAAAGACTTTGTTGGCTGAAAAACTGGTTAATTTGGAGTTTGCTTTTTTATTTATCAGATGTTTTATTTGTCCTTTTTCAGATCAATATTCCTCTCAATATTTTTGTATTCTTATAGTCTCGCTAACACAGTCACAAACATGTTAATATTATTCACGGACAACTAGAATGGCGATTACTTATAGTTTCTAGCTATTCAAGGTGCCGGTGTACTGTGGGGGAGACATGGCTGTAGTGATATGAATCTGCGTGATCTTATCATGTTTTATATATGTATATCATGTAGTACCAGTTTGCAATTATTAGCAATGCCATAAGATCATTCCTTTATGGTAGGTGTAGATTTTGGGACAGTTATGTTCTCTGTGGTATCAAAAACATATTTCATACTGTTTTCTTCTCAGATATATTTTTCATGTATGTAATTTGTATTAGTTCTCTTAATTACTTAAGCATCCTTTATGTGTGTTTTCCATTATTAATTCGGATATTATTTCTTGGTAACAATACCTTTTTCGAATTAAATTAATTCACTCAATTAAGTACTTAAATATCTTTTTTCCCCTCGGGGAGTCGCAGGTAAGTTTACAGAATTAAAATGCTAAAATCCAGGGTTCGATTCCCTACGGTGGACAGATCGCAGCAAGCCTATTACACAGCTTTGCGTTAGAATAAACAAAAATAACTTCTGTATCTGAAAATTTTTATCCCTTGACAATAATACCTAAAAATCTTTAAAATAAATATTTTGTCGACTGTGCCATTGCGAATGGGAGTAAAATTTAAGGAAAATTATAATTGATAAATTGTAACTAATGTAACTTCGTGAATCACTAGAAGCCTACAAACTAAACACTAATTATCTTAACTTATCATCTTTATAACAAATCACTATAATCTGCTTTTTAATATTCGACATTCAATTAATTACCTAAGTAGCTTTTATAAGAACGGCCATAGTACTCAAAAATAATTTATTAAATCAATCCAACGTTTCACCATTACGGCGTCATCAGACATTAAATAGATCAATAAGATAAGTTAGGTTATATTATGAATTAAATTATTTTTGGAGTACTGTAGTCGTTTTTGATATACATTCTTATATATATAATCGTATTGAAACATTGTGTGAAATACCACAGTCAGCACTAAAAGATCTAAAAAAAAGATGACGATGTTTAGAAATTTCACAAATATTTGGTCAGATCGTGAGAAGTTCTGGCAGTTATACTTGTTGGGTATAGTAACTCATTACAATTACGACTAAACATGTAATTTAGGACGGATATTTGGATTTATGTTTACAATCACTTTCTGGGAAATTATAAGAGAAAATTCATAACTCATTCCTAAATTACTGACATATTTGGAGATAGAAATCTGTGTGAACTCATTCTTCCTCGACAAGGATGCTTACGTTGTAGCATCGATTTTGAACTACTAGCGATGATACCTACATCAGCATCATTAATGTTCTAGTAGGCAACAAAGCTACAGTGATAAAACCCTGTTACTAAATTTCATAATTACCTACAAATCTGGAGTATAAACCGACGTAAATCTAAATTTCACAAGTTTTATTACAATTTTAACAGATACTAATTTCATATATATTTTTGTTTAACATAAACAAGTCTGTTATTTTACTGAATGTTTAATGTAAGAGTGAAAACTTATCAATTAGAACCACACATATAAATCACTATAATGAAACATTGCATGGTAATTTTGGATACTTACTAATAGCTGACTAAAGATATTATCTTTGTTTTCATTATTTATCGTTATATGATTGATTGTGCCATATGGTATAGTAAAGTTTGTTATACTGGATAATAATAATATATGAAACTTTAATAATGTTTATAACATCTACCTCTTTGTTTGTTTTTTTTTTTTTTAATTCAAGTATTTTATAATATACTTGAATTTAAGAATTACAAGCGATATTAAAGAAACTTTCCTGTACCTATTAATTTCTGGTGTAAAACCTTTTAGTTTTCATTCATCCTTCTAGTTTACACTAGTTTTAAAATATACAACCTTCTTTTATTTTTGTACCTCTGGATTCACAAAGACAAAATGCTTGAACATAACTCCTGTGAATTGTGTTGTCTAATGATTTTTCTTATGCCGTTTGATACTCTGGTATGCTGTTATTATTCACAAAATTCTCAAGGTGAACTGGCACCTGTATACCTAAACACATTCACTGGTTTAACTACAAACAGAAAAATGTATTTTCTTTTTACCAAGCCTAAACTTACTGAAACGAAGAATGATACCCAAAACTGGTAAAATCCTTGGCAAAAATAAAAATGTAAGTCTTTCAGGATCTACGAATATATAATGATGAGGAAAGTATATACTGATTGTTACATCTATTGGAGAATTAATCAACTTTATTATTAACTGTCTGCCCACTGAATTCTTAGAATGTGTATATAATTGGAACAAAAGCTGAGAAAAGGCAAAAGAAAAGATTATTTGTTTCGGTGAAATAGAACACTTCCTACTTTTATTGCTTTGGTACACAGCTCTAACACCCCATGAAACTAACGCTAAAAACCGGGTTTCGATACCCGTGGTGGACAGAGCAAAGATAGCCCATTGCGTAGCTTTGTACTTAACTGCAAATAACAAACAAACCCTACGAAATATGTTTCTCTAAGTAGTTTTGGTTTTATCTACATGTGGTTAAATTAAAGTTTTGTATACAATTTATCGTATATTATATCTGAGTGGCTCTCTAATATTAGTTACAGTAAAACCGTTAAGTAAATTTTTATGCATAATAGTTGCATTTAAAAAAAAGTGTTAATTAATGTTTCTGCAACTCATGAAAACATAAAATTGCAATTATCATGAAATTCTGTTTATTTTTTATTCTTATGATGAACGTACTGAGTGAATTCTAATGTAACAGTGTGTATATTTTTGTTTGTTCCAAGTCAAAAGCCAATATATTCTAATGTAAGACAAAAATAATGTAAAATATATGATGTATTTGGATAATTTTGTGCTCAAATGTCTTTAGTTCATAGCAATAGATAGTACATCTTTGTGGTCTGATATCTTCATTTCATTGTTTTATGTTACTGTTGCAAAATTTGTTTGTTTTCCGTGTAAGATATAAATATTATCATCATAAACGTTTCCCCAAGATATGCTGTACACAATTGAAGTTTCTGAATTTTTAGTTTTAGTATTTCTCAAAAGGCATAGACAGATAAATAGAATATTACAATAATAGACCCTCATCAACCACAATAATTACAAATGACTTCCTAGCCTGAAAGTAAGTAACGTGTATGATTACAAATTTATGGCATCATTCCAAATTTTACTAACTATATTTGAACATCGTACCACCAACGCAGTTAATACTGTTTTTTAATGAATTATAATTATGGTATTTCCAATACATTATTACATGCGTTACTTACACTACTTAACATAATAATAGTATGGGTGGATAACACAACTAATTTTGTTATTCATAAAATTAAATTTCCATAGGTTATTGTTGCAAAATTTGTGAATCCTTTAATGACTTTTAAGGTATTTTCGATATCAAAAACGATGTTTCCGAGAGTGGTTTTCAAAAGAGACAGAGAAATCTGCCACTTAAAACAAATCAAGTGACTGAAGATTAAGTAAAGCCCTGTTGAAGTTCATTTTTTTACTTATGGTTTGTAAACTTTCAAAACACAGTTCTAGAATATTTCTTTTTTTTTATGTTTAGTGAGGAACCTAGTGAACTGAATAATCAATTCTAAAATACAAAAACAGCAACTTTTACTGTAAGCTAGTTCTGATTTTAATTATAACGTTTTGATCTATAGTTTCGGGTCATCATCAGGTAAACGTTACAATCAAACATTTGTTTTTTAATGTAATTTTTACCTGATGATGATCCGATACTATTGGTCGAAACGTTGTCATAATTATAATCAGAACTAGCCTACTGTAAGCTAGTTCTGATTTTAATTATAACGTTTTGATCTATAGTTTCGGGTCATCATCAGGTAAACGTTACAATCAAACATTTGTTTTTTAATGTAATTTTTACCTGATGATGACCCGATACTATTGGTCGAAACGTTGTCATAATTATAATCAGAACTAGCCTACTGTAAGCATTTCTGTTATTGTAGGTTAGAATTTATTTCTTCTTTTAGTTTAAATACAAGATAGATATGCTTTACCTTTGTGATAACGTGTTTTTCTTTTAGTGTTTTGATGTTATTTCCACGTAACAGTTTCAGGTTGTTTGCAAGTTGCATACATTTGTAAGCTTTGACAGAACATAGTTTATCTAGCCTCACAGGAAACTAGTTGAAGTTTATCATTGTTTCAATGAATCTTAGAAACAAAGTTGACTCATTCTTCATTGTTTATACTTTAAACTCGGATTCAGCTTCGGGAGGATTGCTACAGTATTGACGTTTCGGTAAACTCACGTTTGCCTTCATCAAAGTATGCTGAAAAGTCAACCATGAACTAGTTCTATCAAAGCTGACTCTATGTCAAAAGTAAAAACAATTTCATTTTAAAATACAGTCAGTAAAAAGGATCACAACACATAATAAGTTGCCTGGCATGAAATGGTACCAATATATTTACTATTTACAATAAAAAGTAAGAAATAAAGATGTTCAAGAGCTTTGTGTACTTTATAATAAATCGATTGCTGAATGTAACATTTTCTATGGTGCCTAGGTCCTCAAGGTGGTGATATGGTTGTTCGTTTTAACCAAGATGGGGATGCTCCAGGAAGCTACCACATATTCCAGTTTCAGAAAAAAGCCAGTGGAAAATATGACTACAAGATTATTGGCCAATGGAGCGAGGAAAAGTAGAATCACGAAATTTTTTTTTACTTATTTAAAGATAAAAACGAGTAATACAGAAGTGTAGTACCATATTTTATACATAATACAACCACGGGTTGCACCCTCATACCAATTATTTCACAATCATTATAAGTATCTCATAAATACTATTTACAAAGGTGAAAGATTTTTCATAATTTTTCTCATGAGGACGCGTTCGATACAACTTACCATTTTATAAAACTTTTTAAACGATGGTTACTCCAAACAATTTATAACCATGATATCAAAATCTTTTGTATTTGGGTGATAATTCTATCTCTAAACAAATTCACTGAATTTGTTTAGAATGATAATATACACTGCATATTTAGCGCAAGTTACACCCCAGTGTGCATTTCTAGACTACAGGACACTCGAAACAAGAAAAACTCGACAAATGGTCGTAGCGCCATATGATATAAACTACAAAAATAAGGATATAATGTCCACAATATTGTATCTAATGACATTGATTAATGATATACCGATATTGATCTGTCAGTGATTTAAATTTCAGTACACAAAAATAGAATGGTATTTGAAACAAACATTTGTTCATGTCAAATAACACCATAAACGTTTTTGATTTTTTTTGTTTTGTTTTGTTTTTTATGAGGAGGGCGTTGCTTTGTTTTCAAACCTCCATTTCGCAGTTGAACGAATAACTGTTTCTTCGTTTTGTACAATTCAGAATTTTGGTGCAATTCTCACACAGATAATACTATTGAATTGAAGTTTTATATTAGAGGTATTTCTTGATAATGTAATTTATTCTCACAATAAAACAATATCTAACAAACTACACAATGCCTTTATTATTGTTTTAGTTGTGTCATATATTGTGTTTGGAAAGCAAGATAATAAAAAATTATCATAGCAAATATACAATTCCTTTGTTTGTTTTTGTTTATAAAATGTTTTATTTTACACTTATCGTAACCGGCTGACTTAATAAATAAAATCTAATCGGATACATTTTGAATTTCAGAGTTCAACTCAACCTGGGGCTTGCTGAATGGAAAGGTTACAGTGGAGTGGTTCCTGCATCAAACTGCAGCGACCCCTGTCCACTTGGTCACATTAGACAATTCCAGCAACACACCTGTTGTTGGATGTGTGTAGCCTGTCGAGAGGACGAGTACATATTTAACAACGAGTGCTCCTACTGCCCCGAAGGTTACATGCCACGTGCAGACAAAACCGGGTGTTTCAAGCTCCCTTTGGAGTACATGACTTGGAACTCTCCGTGGGCTATAATACCGGCAGCTTTTGCAGCCTTGGGAATTATCTGCACATTTTTTACATTCGCTGTTTTTGTGTATTTTAGTAAAACTCCGATCATCATGGCATCTGGTCGAGAATTGTGTTACCTACTCCTTTTAGGCTTAGTGTTTAGTTACTGCATGAGTTTCGTAATCCTGGCTAAACCTACCATCGTCACGTGTACGCTGATGAGAATAGGCTTAGGACTGTGTCTCAGCCTTTGCTACTCCGCAATTTTTACCAAAACAAACCGAATCTCGAGGATATTTAACCGCGGTATCCGTAGTATCAAAAGGCCAAACTACACTAGTCCAGGGTCTCAGGTATTAATCTGTCTTGGATTGGTATCAGTCCAGTTAGTGTTCGCAATAGCTTGGTTTATAGTAGAGCCTCCTAAATTACGAGAGACTTATCCGACAAGAACTTCAGCTGTTTTGCAGTGTGGGATCTCCAGTATTTCAATGGTTGTATCTCTTATCTACAATATGTTATTAATAGTCCTTTGTACAGTCTACGCCTTCAAAACACGTCAGATCCCTGAGAATTTCAACGAGGCCAAATACATTGGATTCACTATGTACTCCACGTGCATTGTGTGGTTGGCTTTTATACCAATATACTTCAGTACCAATAACGACTTCAAGGTAGAGTTGTTTTTATTAAATACTGAAACATAAAAATAACTACTTCTAAGATAGCAATTTTAATCACATGAGCACTATGACATAGTTTAATGAAGCTTGGACAACCCTAAAAATCAGAATGCTAAAAAGCAACAGATCAGGAAACATTGTTATAAGTTTTCACTGAGAAGAAATCATTTATCAAATTGTGTGGAAATACAGAAAAGTATATCGCTGTAATTATTTCTGTTGTGGAGTGTTCTTTTTTTTTATTCACTAAAAAAATACAGAGTTCAGTCGACTTAATAGTGAATTTGTTTTATTTTCAAGTTCTTAGAGTTATCCTAATTAATGTTCACTGATAGGCCTAAGATCACAATAGAAACTAATACAACAATTTCTCGTGCTTGCTTGTTTTCTCGCTTTAAAAAGTTACGGAGTATTTCTTATAACTTCGTCGAAACTAAATTCAATAATCACAGCACTGAACTGACTAAAAACTCAATCAATTAATGTTCTCGTTACTTCACTCTCACTATAATTTACTAATAGTCTAAATAATCAATAATAAACTACTCTAGCCTAGCTCGCGTTTTAAATTAGTCAAATTGTTCTAAAAGTGGAAAAAATTCCAGATATTAAGCCATGCGTTAATAACGTGACGTGAAACTTCCATCTGGCCAAAGGGCAGTACAAACTTCTAAAACCCAATCGTAGCTTTCAAACATAAGCTCTGCTAATTTTTACGAAAAGAACGGATGCCTGTAATTCTTATTAACGTAATTTTAGCTTTCATTTATGTGTGCTTTTTTTTTACATTACAACACCATATCCTCCGAGAAAAAGTGATAAAGCATAAAATGTTTATATCTCAGCATCTTTAGTATTTCTACTTTCCACTGCGGTATATGTTACATTATTAAATATAAGGGATGTATATTTTAGCTTTCTTTTTCAAATATTGGTTTCCTTCTATCTCAAATTCTGTAAGTGAGTTATTCAGTTCAGTTAAATAATACCTTAAAAAGTTTGGTGACAATTTTCTGGTAGGAACGTCTAATTATAACGTCCTAGAGAGAGAGAGAGAGAGATAAATTTCTAATTCTGGTGCAATTCTCACATTGATAATATTATCAAGCGATTGAGGATTACTAATTTTAGTATTAGCTTCTCTAATTTTAGTGCCAAAAGAAAAAAAATGCGTTCTAGACCAACTGGAACGTTTAAACCAGTTTTAATCTCAATTTTTATATGAAAGTTTATTAATAAACTACTTCTTTTATGCATATAAACTTGGAATATCTCACGTTGGTTAATTTTTAGTTTTATAAAAACACGTTGTATTTTTTCTTATTTTGGAAACTTAGTTCATTACTATGTAAAATTGTTATATAATGCTTATAAACTGGCTAAATTCTCGTTTTTTTATTTAACCCTAAATTAGCAACTTAGCCAGGCGCTAAGATTAATGATGAATGGAATATTTATCAAGCAGAAATTTTTCAAATTTACTAATGATAAGCTAGAACGATAGTTGTGAATTAGAGCTTTCATTCTATGGAGACAAAATGTTACAATGTGGATATATTGAACATTATTTGCTCTTTCTTTAACAAATATTTTCCATTTTCCGGCCACAAATCTATTGCTCTTTTCTGCGCTGTTTTCCGTTTTAAAGAACATTAACGTAGAACACTAAAGAAATATATGGAAACTATCCTATGCCTCTAAATATTTGCAAATGCAAAATGAAATGGTGTTTCAAGTGCAATAACTGCAGTCGATGTAGATGCGGCCACGATGAGATATCCATTGAAAAAGTTATCAAGGAAAAAGCAGAAAAGAGAGTTTTCAAAATAGAATAAAAATAAAACTAGAAGTCTGTCTCTTCTACTCCGAAATCAAAATCTGCTGTTGTCTTGGATCTTGAAAATGGTGCTTCATGTGCCAATGAAGTTCATCTTGAAATTCATTTATTATACTCTGAAACATTTTTAAAGGTCATTTTATATACTTTTTTGTGTTATGACGCTGAAATATTTAATTTTCTGGCCAAGTTTACACCGAAAATGACGGCCGACTGACCTTATCGCAAGAGATCGTCTTTAACAACCAGTTTGTAAGTTGATAATAATCAGTTTCACTTTTTTTATTGCTAACTTAGGACTCTTTAGAGAATGAAAACTAAGCGAAACAACAATGATAAGTCAATACTTACTTACAGGTCTCACAGTGGAAAAAAATTATCGTAAAATTTTATGAATTTTTGGCCTGGTTAAGTCGTGAATTCAGGGTTAACATTTTATTTGGTGTAATTTTGTTTTATAAGAGTGTTTTTAAACGATTTAATTTTCTTCATATTTCAGATTCAAGTCTCTAGCCTTTGCATCTGCATTAGTATCAGCGCTACTGTAGCTCTAGGCTGTCTTTTTATGCCCAAACTGTATATCTGTCTCTGTCAGCCTTACAAGAATGTCAGGACAGGCGGAACACAGAGCAACACATCTGGAGCTTATGGTCACAGTATGAGGTTTACAAAATCAACCGCCAGTGCTGCTTTAGCTTCCATTGCCACTGCAGCAGTTATTGGTACGACAAGGCCAGCCATAGCTGCACAAAGTTTCCGTTCAACAACTAATGGTGATGTGTCCCCTAGCCTAGAGGAAAGCAGTATAAACTAATGATGTTAATAACTGGTTTTTCTAAAGATCTTGACATGGAAGTATAAAAGGTCGCTGTATAAAAGTTTTTCAATTGTGATCACTTATCAATAAGTTTCATATATTCGCAGTCGTGCTGGAACGATCTACAATTGTTTAACCTCAAAGTATTTGTTGGTGTGTTTAAACTATCGACGACAGTTCCGGTTTTGAATTTAAAATTCAGCTAATCTTCCCCAAGAATAAGCTGCGTTTTACCTAACAATGAAAAGTATGATGCAAAGAAAATGTCTTGGGAATGTGCACGACATTTATAAGTTCTACGTGGTCACCCCTCTCTTAATTATTGTTACACGATGTTACCTCTTACAACTCAACGCACTTTATGTGTGTGTCCGAGACAAAATAAATTCCTTTGCTTTGATCTTCTTCTTCAATAACTTAAGTGATTATTTGAATTTCTTACAGAACGCGTCCCTGAACGCGATGTTACTTGGAACACGCATCCGTTGGCCGTGTGTGTTCGCATATAAACGCAATGACTGGCTAGTTCCCAGTCACAAACAAGATATAATAGGTGTTCAAGCATATAGCGACGGAACTGTGAACTATATAAGATTACCACTAAACTACAGAATTCGAACCATTGAATGGAACCATTGGATTCACTAATCAAACACGATGTAAATAATAATTTTTGAAAATGTGTGAAAGACCTTCGTTGCTCCAAATAACCGTTTTAGTGGAGCGATTCGTGGGGTATTTGGTTCAGGACCGATACATCATAAAACTGGAATATTGAACAACTATTTTGGCGGTTCTTTACAACTTACACCCAGTTAGAAAATAGTCAAACATTAAGCAGCTTCGATGTTTTTGTTCTGTTTTTTTTTTCGTAGATCTGAAAAAGAGGATTCCGGCAACCGAATCAATCGTTTCTCATTGCTCGGTATTCAAATTGACATGATAGAACACAAACTTCTTACTCAAATCTTTAAACACTGTCTACAGATTCTTACGGGGCTCATGCGTCTGTGAACAGTGTAGAAGGATGGAACTGGGAAGTTTGTTTGTAATGCTTAAATGTGTTTTAATACTGAATTATATATTGCATTGTAACTTGTATCAATTTTTCAAAGGACTGTATCTGCCTGGAACCTTGTGGTGGACAACGTTTCGGACTTCAGCTAAGAGACCGAAACTTCTTTCATCACACGGCTTCAACCAGTTGTAGGGCTTTAAAGATTAAACGCTTATACTATCTACTCTGTTATAAGCATTATTAAACTTTCTACTTTGAAAAACCTTACTTTTCACCAGACATAACGTTTGGTTTAATTTTCTTAAAATATCCAGTATATTTTACACGACATGCCTTAAACCTGTATTTCTTATTATTTTAGTATCAGCTTTTATTGTTGTTGGTGTGTGAAATAAAAGTTTTCTTCACTTCGTATATTAGTCAACCTTGATCACTCCAATCCTTTTTGCTTTTAAATGTGCAAAACGTTAAAAGTTCTGTCCTACATATTTCAATGTTGCATAAAATTATTCACTAAATAAATGTTTCCGTCTATATCATTAGAAATTTAAAATGACGAGTCATATATTACGTTGAAAAGTTGGTTGATCATTTATTTGTTTATATTTAATCGCAAAGCTACACAGCAAGCTATTTGTTTTTCGCCCACCGTTGGTATCGAACCACGATGCTTAGCGTTATTAACCTCCAAGGTTACTGCTGAGCTACCGGAGAAAAAACTTTTGTTGAAGGTTTTATCCAAGAAAGCGAATAAAATTTCAAACATTTCAGTTTATTGACTGGTTATGGTAACTTTGTTTGTTTGTTGTTAAGCACATTTGACTATCTGTGCAGTGCCCACCATGGGTATCGAAACTCGGTTTTTAGCGTTATAAGCCTACAGACTTACGGCTGTGCCACTGGGGGGGGGGGGGTATGGTAACAAGGATGTTAAATAAATCATGGAGGATTTATATTTAAATCATATAGATCAATATTTTGTTTCTAGTACAATATTTTTGTTACTATTAAATGAGAAAATTAGTAAATACTACAAACATACTTCATATTATAACATTTATTTTCTGATTAGTTGTTAGGAGTAAACGGAAACTTGTGCACAAAGCCGGAAAAAGGTAAGTGAATTAGTTATAGTTAACTAGAATAGACTTAGACTATCTTGAATTAAACAGCCATTTTCAGGGCAGGGATCTTTAAGTTATGCTACAAGTAAAATTGTTTGTTTTTATTTTTTTAGTTTTCTTCTTTTATATTTTCACGGTCGACTGGTGGTTTAAATATATAATTTTAATGCATATACTACTTAAGACAAAAATGTTGACTTCTATTTTTGAGCGTTTTTTATTAGCCAATGTAATTTGTCGTCTTGTGCTGAGCTTGTGATTCACAGTTTTATTTTGATTTTATGTTAATACCCAAACGTAACAACATTGAAAATTCACAGAATCTAGGTTTAACTTGAATACTTAAATAATTTCGTAACGAAATGTCGAAAACAATCCAGTTCCTAACATTAGGGCCGAGTGCAATCCAGTGGTTAGCGCGTCGTAGTGTGGATCTGAGGTACTTTGGTTCGTATCCCGTTACGGCAAAAAACAATCGCACTCCGAACTTTGGGGCCGTGGGTGTGTTATAAGAGTGACGGTCATGTCCAACCATTGATGGTGAATAGTGTTCACTAGTTTTCTTCCCTCTAGTCTGTCATTTTAATATTAGGGACGATTAGCACAGATAACCCTGTTGTAACTTTACGCGAAATTCAACAAAACAACAACAACAACAAAATCCTAACCTTAACAACAAACATACACATTACTCTATCCATAAAGTACTACAGGAACAACTTTTTAATTTTAAAAGAATAATACAACTTTTCAAACATTTGTTAATTATATTCAGCTATGAATTAAAATAAAGTGTAAAATATGATTAATTAGCGTAAATTTATTAACTAAAGAACCATTCGGTCTCAATCCGACTTCATTTACACAATTCTCAACTCAAGTGGGATTTTAGAATAATAAGCTTATTGAAAGTAATAATTCTTGCAGTATTTTTGAGCCATTTGTGTAGATATGTTTTTGTAAGTATTAGTTACTCTTTTGATGCAAAGTTTCACATTCGCTGGGCTAAAATGTTTTTTTTTTGGTGTAATTTTTAACTGATTATCTAATAGTTCTTTGACTTTTGTTTTGCAAATTCGCTTTACAAAGTAATGACTCTTCGTCTTCTCTTCACGTTTATGTTTGACCCCAAAATGACACTTTTAATGATTTTTTTCATTAATTTTTAGTTGCTTTCTCTTATTCTGAAAACAAATTTCTGTCTTTAAAATAGACTTGAACTCTTTTATTAATTACAAACAGTATATGTTATGTGGAAAATAGTAATGTAAATAGCTTCAAAATATCAATTCACAAACAAGAACTTAGATTATTGGTATTTTTCCATAGATATGTACAATTAATTAACTTCATTACAAGTCAATCCCTAATCGTCAAATAAAGTATTATTAATTATAGTATTTTGGCACTTGTGTATAAATTTAAAATCATAAATAATATTCAATGTTAAACTGGTACACAATTAAAACATTT